GCGCTGGGTGTGGCTGCTGGCACCGCGCCGGCCCACCCAACGCGGCCGCTTTTGGACGGCCTGGAGGCGTGAAACTGTCGGAGGAGCCTAACGCCGCTGAGGAATTTTTCCCGATTCGGTTGTGCTTGTTGAGATGCAGACATTTGCCTGGAGCGGGAGTGCCACTTTCTAAAATCGGTTGAATAAGGATCGATGGGCTGAAGCCATAAAGTTAACCTAACTTACCTCCAAGTCCTGATTTCTCACCGGAAATCGGGCATTCTGAATGGGGTACCTAATGCCAAAATAAAACAAAAACTATTGGGTCGGTTTTAACTTGATTTATTGCTGAGGAATGACATTCCACTTGCAGCCGGTGTGAAAGCAATTATGATGATATATGATGATGATATTGATAGTGATATGTTTAGGTACCTAGTGTATCAGCAGTTCAGACACCGAAAAACACTGAGGGGCTCAAATCAGCATCGGCTATACGTGACACCAATGGCCCGAAGCACAGAAAAAGGTCCCTGAAACATGGACACTATGTGCTCCTGGATCCATACTTGGGATTCAAGCACATGTCTGATGAGAAAGGAGATTCTTCCCATTGCTTCTCTCCCACCTCGCGGGAGATGCCACGTACAAGTCCGAGGTGCGTGACCCAACAATGCCATACACGTGCGTTGTCGGGCCGCATTCGCCAGCTCCAACACCTCAAGTGAGGAGGGGGAGGGGCAGTAACGGGGTCTCGTGTGTTGACTCGTGAATTAATTCATGCGTTCTATGATGAGACAAATCAGCAGGGTCAGGTCACGGACAATCGCATACATGATATACAAGACACCGGCATTTGGACCTGCTTTAATGGGCTCTGGTCGGTTGCCGCTGTATATCAACGGTTTGCGCGTTTTGTGCTATGCTGCTACGCAAATTTTGTCTGGGTACAAAGCAGATGGGACGTCATCCATGCAGCGGCATTATCATGAGCAGACTTCCATTATATATATATATATATATATATATATATATATATATATATATATATATACATGTATGTATATAATGCGACGGTATATATATAATTATATATGCATATGCGTATATAAATATGCTCATTATGGACAAATTCCCGTCAGATCAGATGACCATTCGAAAAACACTTATCACGAATAAGACGTGCACCAAGGAGTTGGTAATGCAACGCCGCACGCCTTTGCCCGCCAGGGCGCGGCAAAAAGGATGGCGAAGTGGAGAAATGTACGTTGTTGACTCGACCTGTCGGTGAAACGAGCAATCCACCAGTTGTGGGTGCCGTCTTGCTAGTATCAGCACGCGCTGACCCGGAAACGCCACTTCACCATTAGCCTTTCGGCGGCGTGCAAATGTTAACAAGTAGCCAAACAGATGGCAGACACCATACACGTTATGAACCCCCTCCATGGCACACACGTAAATCAAGTCCGCAGGGTTGCCGACGCTGGGGCGTTCGGATTCCCGCCCCGCCCACGCGGCTGACCTTCTCATCAGGCCCGCCCCCTCACAAGTGAAGCTATTATAGAGCCTCGTTAGCGGGGATGGGAACAGCTTAGTGGCAAGCCCGTAAGACGTAAGACCTAGCGACGTGGGCAGGCAGGGGCGTCGTCGGGGGCGGGAGGGGGGGGGGGAGGGGGCGTAGACGCGTTCCCAACAACCTCGAGATGAAAAATTACGCCTTTGAGGAGAACGACCTTGCCTGCCCTCCCCAGCCCAGGCCTCCGTCGATGGCGACGCCTCGTCAGCGGCGACGCCGCAGAAGCGCCGCGGCCCGGAGCGAGCGTGCCCCAGCGCACCGTAAAACTTCCTGCTCGCTGTGCAAACAGAGTTATATGCGTCACTGTCCAGGCGGCATCAATATTTGAGGCGGCCGACGGCGACAAAGAAGCTCGAGCCGTTCGACCCCGCCAGCCCCGCTTCGACAGCCGGACACCCCGCGCCGGACTGGCCTCTGCTGTGTCCACAAGCGCAACGACGTTGCTGCCAGGAGCGTACCGCGCCGGCTTCGAACCGTTCCGTTCCGTTCCTGCCGTCGGACGCTCAATGTTGCAGGCCGTGGAATGTGAGACTCGGGTGCAGGGAACTGCACGCGATAGTCATGTAGATCCAGAAATATAACACAGCTCACAAAAGTATGGCATACCTTTCAATCTCGTGCAGATGGCAGCGTGGAGTGCCGAAAATCCAAACATAACATAGCATATGGATGCTCCCGAGGATAAACACTCGGCCACTTGACCCGCGGCAGAGCCCCCCCCCCCCCCCCCGCCCGCCCACAAAACCGTTTTTAATTACACCTCTGATGGACCCCGGGATCGACCGGAGATCGACAGGGGCACGCTTTCCCGCCCGCCCCCCCCCCCCCCCTCCCACCAAGGACCTGGCTCCTCACTTCTATTTTGCTAATTGTGCTGAGATTATGGCGGCCAGCGCCACGTATAAAAGCCCAGTGTTCGTGAACCTAATTGCTTAAACCTGTTGTTGAAAGATATATAAGAGCAATGATCAGTGGGAGCACCGTAGTCTTCCTATGCGGCAGCAATGGTCTCAGGTGTATACTGTTCGTCCTCCCTGCGATCCATTATAGTTTACCCCCCCCCCCCCCCCCCCCGAACTGAACAAGATACTACACCGCTGCCCAGGACTCAAGACACAGATGTCAGAATACTTTTCCCAATCGACGCAATGTCGGATCTGTGGGCCTGCTGCTCCGGGGTTGGCATCCCGTCCGTCTGCTCCTAAACTTTCTTGACGGTGACACTACTGACGCTGCTCCCCTTCTCCCCTCTGCAGGTGGGCACGTTGAAGAACCGCTTCACCGGCTGCGGTGTCTTCCTCGGCGTGCTCCTGTTCCCGCTGGGTCTGGTGCCTTGCTTCCTGATGCGTGAGCGGCGCTGTAATCACTGCAAACACCGACCGGGTGCCGAAGAGGAGCCCTGGCCCGAGTGACGTCACTGGTAGTGGCGTGTTACGTCACTGGTCCACCGACGCCAACGACGGCTGGTTTTGCGGTGCCAACCGCCCGGTGTCGCGGAGGAGCTAGGTGAGAACGACGTCATCCGCTGTCTCGTCACCCTGGGTGAGTGACGTCATCCGGTCGCGACGCGCCAGGCCCAACGCTGGGCTTCGGCGTGCGCACCTGCCGTGCGTTACCGCGGGGTCGGTGTCTCGCGATAATGAGCGCCAGTCACGTGGGCTACCGGATCCATTATGTGGTGAGGTGGTGAGCAAGAAAAAAAGTGGGGTATAGCTACTGCGAATGGTGACCACCACGTTGTGTTTCTAGCTTGCAGCCACTCCTCTTTCATTCGCAGTCATGCTGCTGGTGCGGAGCACTCTTTCGCCAGGCGAACTGTGATGTGCCACACCGCACATATTGCGTAAATGTACTTATTAATTGTACACGATGGCGTTGCACGGCGCATCGATGGTTGGAAACGCATCGCGCCCGACCCGAAACGCTCCGCTGATAGGCACGGGTGCATCCTGACATGTAGAAATGACACCGGAAGGTTCGCCGTTTGGAGCCGGATTCATTCAGTGCTATGAGGTTTGGGCGACTAAAGCAGCGCTGTTTGACCACATGTCCTGTCAGGTTAGTGTGAGTGGCGCCAGCTTTTTACGTTGCCGTCCCATTTAAGTGTGGAAACGCTGCGGTTTGGAGTGCATTTGCGTGTGTATCAAAATGTTTAAATGCCGCCGTTTGTTCACCACACGGATATCCCACTCAGCAGCCTACAGACGACCTATCTCGTGATCGCCGCTGCAACATTCGAGCCTTGCCTTCCTCAGCCTTGTCTGACGCGCCTGTTTTGTGGTTTTATTCACGACAAAGCCATACAATGCTACGCCGCACTGGCGCACGCCCACGTGAACCGGCCTCCTTGCTCTTCCTTCCGCGCGACGCTCTCTCCTCCCGCGGGCTCCGCGCTCCCCCACCTAACCGCCACGCGTCCGCTCCGTCGTCAGATAAACATTCACGAATCGATCTAACAGAGACTTCAAACGCAGACCCTGACACCCGGCGCAGTTTCGCGTCGCGGCGAGGTCTGGCGCAGCAGCTACGTCTTCTGACGCCCGCCGATGGTTTTGCCGGCGCATGCGCAGTGACGCCCGCCACGACGACCGCCGCATCGCACGCTAACATGTACGAAAATAAATATTTACAATAGCGGCTCCGAGTCGAAACACAGACGGCACGATACAACAGCGGCCGCAGAGCCGGTGGTTTTTACAACAGGTGCGTCAGGGCGCCGCGGGCAGCGGGCGGCCCGTCGCCGCGACCCCGAAGCCAGCCCCGAGACAGAATACTGCGCGTCGCGAGAGCAGAAGACGAGTCGGCGCCGCGCAGCCGTTTACGCGGCGAGCGCCGGACGGAGGCGGACGCTGCACGACTCGTGCGGGACGGCTGCGGCCTCCGCGTCACAGAATGCAGGAACGGCGACCACGCGGCAACGTGTCATGGACGAAGGTGTGGAAAGAGATCGCCGACAGTCTGCCAGTCCTCCCACAGCGACGACAATCGTGACAGAGACGCGCGCAACACGCTTCGACACGGGCACACCGACGGCGGAGCAGCGGCGGCCACGCCGCAAGCCGTATCCAACAGGCACCGACCTCCTCGCGTGTCGTTCGCTCAGGGTGGCGGACACGTTCACCGTCTCGTCGGCCCGCTGCGCCCCGTGACCCCAGCCCTCCTCCCCACCCCCGCCGCCGCCCTCCCCGGCCATCAGCCGCGCGCCGTCGCATGCGGCTCTGTCGCGGTCGGCGCCAGGGAGGGCGGCGACGGCGGCGGCGGCGGCGGGAGGGGCGGGGTCGCCGTGCGTGCCGCAGTGGCCGCCGCGTGACGCCCGCTCAATTGACTGTCGCGCCGGGTCGGACCACAGCCGGCGCCGGCCGACACCTGCCCGCGCAAACAGCCGTCGGCGCCGCAGCCGAGACGGCCGGCCAGGCCGGGGGCGCCGCCGGCAACGGCGCGCGACGCGGCCGCGAGACGTCACGCTGCGGGGGCCGGCCGGCACGGACCCTCGCAGAGGTTGGGCGAGAGTGCAGAGGGGGCACCAGCGCGCGCGCGACAGTCGCGCAAAGGCCACGAGCCACCAGCGCGCCCGTCCACCGATCACGAGCCCGGCGAAGCGATCGACGCCACCAGCGCCGCCGTCCTGTCGCGACACGTGAGTGCGTGGTCGCCGCTGGGGGAGCGGGAAGAGCGGCGGCGTCGGCCAACCAGCGGGGCGTGGCGGGCGCCACGCCGCGCACGACAGACCAACACCGGCGGCATTGGACGGCCTCGCGCAGCGCCCACTTTGGCATCAGGATCTGCATCTCTCGCCTGGCGGCGCACGCGCACGCTCATGGCGCCGCGCCGCGGGGAACACCGAATAAATAGGCGCACGTGCGTGGGCACGCGCGTCGCAGCGCGCGGGGTCCGCTCCGTCGGCGACAGCCAGTACGTAATCTCAGCCGGCGCTCGGTAAGTAGATGGCGACGCCACGCCGAGGCGTACAAACGCCGCACACCGCACACAAGGTCGCAGGGGCCAGCGCTGGAGCAGCCGCCGCTAATGGCTTCACATGCAACGTCTTCAAGCCCGGCCAAGGGAGCGATCGATAAATGCGCGTGCAAGAGAGCTATGGCGTGCCGACCAATTAACAAAGTAGTAACAACGATTCCGGTAAATGCTATAGAAAATCAATACAAAAGCGGTTGACGCCTCCATTACGAAATCAACCAAGCAAAGCCATGTCGACGCTTCAACTTAGCATAATTATCACCCTCTAATCCTGTCCAAGTGGCACCTAGCAGGGATCAGGCGCGGCAGTGTTCGCACATTCCGCCCAAAGATGTCTCTACTGGAGCTCGGGCCGCCGCAGCAGCACCGCAGGCCCACGGACCGCGCCTCCCCTAGCACCCAACTAATCACAGAGTCGCCTGCCTACTGCCGACCGGCGGGCGCGCGCACAGAGACATCTAACGGTGACCATAGCAACTAGGCTAGCACAGGTGGCGCCACGCGCGGCGCTCAGGGAAACTCGTCGTCGCTGGAGAGCAGCGTGGTCTTCTCCGTGTAGCTGAGGCCGGTGACGCGTGGGTTGTTGGGGCCGCTTGTTGCCATGCAGGCTCGACTGCGGCACGCCGGCGTCGCCGTCGTAACTGCCCGAGTGGCTGCGCGAATGCGACTTGGCCGGACGGCCGCCGGCTGAAACCGGATAGAGCCGGTTAGGCGAAACCGGACACAGCCGGTTCGCGGACAGAGGCGCCGCGCCTCGTCACCACCAGGCGGCGCTTGGCCGGCCGCCGCTCAAAGCAGGGCCACGCAATGAATGACGAATGCTTCATGCGTGAAACGCAATGGGTTACGCTTGGTGCAGGCAGGGCACACTGACTAACATTCCTTAGAGCACCGGAGGCTCCTGTTGCTTCTAGGCTTTACCCCACGTTCAAGTCACATCGCTATTTTTTAACTTACGAAGCTATAGCATCGTTTAACCAGCAAAACACAAGAAATGGACTGCTACCACCACTGGTGCTAGGTGCGACAAGCAAGCCATCAAGCTCGATACCAGGAAACAAAAGACCACACGCAGCCGCATGCGAAGGCACCAGCAAGCATTGGGTATGGTTAGTGGGCCGGGTCAGTGCATGACTTCCCACGCCTTCTCAGACAACAGACGGTGGCGCCACCTGCTCACAGGGCACGCCCGGTGGCTCGGCGCTGTTGTCCCGATGCCACCAGCGCACTGGTAACATCACTCGCTGGTTTATGAACTCCGCCGTAAAGCTGCCCGTGCGCTCATTACAGCTTTGAAAGTCAGCTGATGCGTGATAACACTGCCAGTGACGGGGTAGCTTTACAGAGGGACCCTCGTCCCTCGACACGGGCAGCGGGCAGCGAGGAGGCCGGCTGTCTCCTGTGGAAGGAGCGCCCTGCTGTGGGCGACGACGCCCGGTTACCATGCAACACACCACCACCAGCAGCAGCACCAGCGACGCCACCATCACCACCATCACCACCCCAGCACCAGCCCAGCAGGCGCCCGGTCAGGTCGGGAGCGGCGGCCGTACGATTCCAGCCTTCGGGTACCGCTCCGTCCTCAGCCCGACAGCAGACGCCGTGCCCGTCGCCGCAGCCGCGCCTGGGACCGGCAGCGCGCCGCCGACCGGTCCGGCGGAGCCTCAACAAATGGCGCCCGGCCGGACCCTGCCGCCACGCGCCGCCGGCCGGTGCGCCCACCCTCGCCCGCACGCAGACCCAGCTCACAGAGGCGCCCGCCACCCGCACAGCCCCACCGTGCGGCGGCGGCGGCGACCCGCGGGCCCCCTCGTCACTGTGTTAGTGGCAGTGGCTTGGCGCTTGTCTGACGGCGTGTTCTGGGATGCTGAGCGAGCCGTGCGCTGATGACCGCGTCCGTGATACGCGTGATTTACGACAATGCTGATGAGCACGGGCCACCCTTTGATTGACTGGGATCTGTTCGGGAGTACATTACGCGTGAAATGCTCTGAGCGCGTTCCCGCACTCAGTCACACAACTCAGTCCTCAACTCGAAGTCAGAACTGAAAACTCAGTCCTAAAAAATAGAGTACAAGACTCAGCGGGCGCTGTCGGCTTGAACGCCGCAGCGACGTCGTGCGGTCTCCACGTCAGGGGAGCTGGCGCGCCGCCGGCTCGCCCAAACCCCGCGACACGGCCACCGCACGCCGGCCCGGTCCCGAGACGCGACCACCGCAGGCCGGCCCGGTCCCGGGACGCGACCACCGCATGCCGGCTCGGTCCCGGGACGCCACCAACGCAGGCCGGCCCGGTCCCGAGACGCGACCACCGCAGGCCGGCTCGGTCCCGCGACACGGCCACCGCAGGCCGGCCCGGTCCCGAGACGCGACCACCGCATGCCGGCTCGGTCCCGGGACGCGACCACCGCACGCCGGCCGGTCCCGAGACGCGGCCATCGCCCGCTGGCCCGGTCTCGCTGAGCAACGGAGGGCCGGCAGCCGGGTGCGTTCTCCGTGACATGGCGAACGACTCGGGCGCGCCCACCAGCAGCCCAGTGAAGCAGTGACCCGGAGTACCGGTGGCAGTGACTCGTAATGACTGGCAGTGACGTGAGTCGTGTCCGTGAACGCGAGTGGCGCAGCCAGTGCTCCTCGCTCGCGACCGCCATGCGGGCACCTGTCCCAGCGTGTGACGACAGCTACGAGCCGTGATGGCCATCCGGAGCTCCGAGCTCCCGGCCGAAGCAGGCTGGACGACTCATGCTACGGGACGGCTTTGTCACGTGACGCGGTCTACTTACTTCGCGTTACCCGGCTCTACTCTGGACGAGCAGCATTCACCGACGGCGAGTGTAGCAAGACAGGGCAGTGGCGCCGACTAGTGCCGAGAGGAGGCGAGACAGTGGCACGACACGCCAGAAGCGGGAGAATGGCGGAGGTGGATCGCGTGAGTGCACGGTGAGACGTGACAGACAGTACCAACACCAGTGCGGAGTGAGGCCGGCGCAGTGACAGAGAGTGTACCAGTGCCGGGTGAAGGCGACGGTGGACTGTGCATGTACCCGTGTCGGGCGTGGGGCCGGCGAGCTGCACTACTGCGGTACCACAGTGCACCCGTACATGGTACACGCCGTACACCGGTACTGCGGAGCTAGAACCAGCGCTGCAGTTGCACCGTCAGTACCGCAACCTCAGTACCAGCGCTGTAGCTCCGGTACCACGGCAGCAGCACTGCAATACCACAGCTCCGGCACTAGTACCACGTCTACAGCACCACTGCCGTGGCTCCAGGACCAGTACCAGGACTCCAGCACCGGTACCGTAACTCCGGCACCCATACTGCAGCCCCAGCTCCAGCACCAGCCCCAACACCAGCACCAGCATCGGCACCACAGCTCCAGCACCCCACCACCGCAGTGCGTCTGTGCCGTGCCGACAGTGTACCCGGTGCCCGCCACCGCCACAGCCGCCCGCGCGCAGTACCCTGCTGATATCCCAAGGCGATCCCCGGCTGGCCACCTGGCGGCGCGAGGCCGGAACTGGAGCCGGCGGCGGCGGCCGGCGGCGGCGCGCGCAGCTCCTGAAAGCGAGACGTCTGGGCGGCGGCCGGCGCCGGCGCCGTCACGTCTAGCTCCGCCGCCTGGGAGCGTCGGCTGCCGTCGCCGATGCCTGCCGGACCGGGCGGTGGGTACGGGGTCACGCGGCTCCGATCACGGGGTCAAGGGGTCACGGGGTCGCGGGCTCCCGCCGGGCGGGGAGGGGGCGGCGCATCGTCGGCGTAGAGGCCTGGCAGCTGATTACGGCGTGCAGGAACCAGTCAGAACGGCACCATAAGTTGACACAAGTCAAGTGGTTCCAAGAGTGGGCGTCTGTGGGGCCTCCGCAGGACGTGAGCAGTCCAGGGGGCAGCGCTCAGCAGGTAGAGAGCAAGACGCACGGGAAAAGACGGCTCGGGACCAGGCATCAGATCACAACATGGGCCCAGGTCAGACAACAAGGACGGAGTATCGGGGCCAGGTCATCACTTGCTCGGCCGACCAGGGATCTGAAGAACCGCGCCGGAGTTCACACAGCCCGATCAAGAAGACCGTGCGTGACCCAAAACCAACAGAAAATTCAAAAGCAAGGTCACATGGGTCAGAATTAGAGGCCACATGAGTTCACCAAGGACACAAACGCACGCAAAGAACACAACGGCACGACAGCGGGAGGCCCGCGACGCCGACAGCAACCACAAGTCACTCCCGGGCCCAGAGGTCGTGCGATTCCCATCCTCCCAGCCGGAGACGCGACATTCCGGACACCGATAGAACCTATCAGGCCCCATGCGTCGCCGGTCAGCCCACTTCAGAGCGCGTCAGTTATAGGGCAACACACGCCTGTGGCGCGCCGGCTGCCGACAAACGGCCGGGGCGGCGCCGCCATGACCTGAGGACATGACCCTCTCCACAGCGCAACAAGTCACGATCCTACCCCATCCCCAACCGCGCACAGGTCATGACCCCGGCGCACGCCCCCGCCGCGCACCGCCGCCGGCTACTGGACGTCAAGTGCTATAGATAGCATCTGAATGACGCGCGTGAGACGCTCGACCGATGCCACGCGTCGCTCCGCCAAGCCGAGCCGAGCTCGACGCCGACCGGACGCGGTCGGACTGATCGAGCACCGCGCGACACATTGCGCGTCGCTCCGCCGAGCCGAGCCGAGCTCGACACCGGCCGGACGCGGTCGGACTGATCGAGCACCGCGAGACACATCGCGCGTCGCTCCACCGAGCCGAGCCGAGCCGAGCTCGACGCGGGCCGGACGCGGTCGGACTGATCGGGCGCCGCGAGACGCGCCGGGTGTCGCTCCGCCGAGCCGAGCCGAGCCGAGCCGAGCTCGACGCCGGTCGGACTGATCGGGCGCCGCGAGACACATCGCGCGTCGCTCCACCGAGCCGAGCCGAGCCGAGCTTGACGCCGGCCGGACGCGGCCGGACTGATCGGGCGCCGCGAGACGCGCCGGGTGTCGCTCCACCGAGCCGAGCCGAGCTCGACGCCGGCCGGACGCGGTCGGACTGATCGAGCGCCGCGAGACGCGCCGTGATCGCGCTCCTTGGGCCGGGCGTCGTCCCGGTGGAGCGCCGTGCGAATACGAAACGCAATAAGGCCGGCAGCGATCGTGTGACGGGGTTGCTACGAACCGTCCGGCGCGCACACGCCCGGCGATGATAGTGCGTCTGTCAACGCCGAGGGGGAGGGGTACATCGAGTGCGACCCAGCCTGCAGAACCTGCCCAGAATACCAGGCGTGTGCGTACTACTGAATGTCTTGCACAGACATATGGCAATCCCGGCGATACCCAATGGACGTATTTGCGGTTTCCCAAATGTTCGACCAGAAAAGCCTGTAAGGAGTGTTTCAGCAGGTTCGGGAGGCCGTGAACCGCTACGATTAAGTTCCATCTAAAGCCAGTGAGTATCACGTATCCACCCACACCGCGCGCAACAGGAACATGGCAGCAGAGCTGCTTGATGGGATGGCGCTTGCGACATGACCGCTTACAACCGCTGCCATTTTAATTGAGCTCTAGTGAGTCATCCCACCAACAAATCAAGGAGGATCATCGTGTCCATGGGGCGAGCTGTCGTCTTCCCATGAACATCAGGCCGGCCGCCAGGACCACATCCGCGCGGGGGGGGGGCTTGGCGCCGACTCCGGGGCGGGTCAAGGTCCAGGTCAGGGTCAGGGTCAAGGTCAGGCGAGGACGGCCGCGGCGGCCAGCGCGCCTCACGTCGGCCCCACCCTCAGCCAGGGATTCCCCGTCGTGCTCATGCGGGGGTTCCCGCTCCGTGCCGCGGTTCACGACGCCAGCCACCGCCCGCCGGGAGCAGCGGGAGGCGGGGCGAGGGCGGGGGGGGGGGGGGGAGGGGCACTACGAACGAGGCCAGGCATGCCAGTGCGTGCAGCCGGCACACGCGGGCAGCGGCGGCCGGCAGCCAGCGCCGCCCGCCGCCGCTGCCCAGCGCACAATCCCGGGCAGGACAGCCTGCCGTGTTCGGGCGAACGAGGGGCGGGGAAGGCCGTGCGGCAGGACTATGACCGCGACACCTACCGTGCGGAGGTGCGGAGGTGCGACAGCGCGCGGCGCGCGGTGCATCGAGTCACACAGTCACGGACACTGCGCACTAGGCGGACGGTAGCAAGCTGATGCGTGACGCGCGCCTAACGTGGCACGACCGCCTGGGCCCGACGCACGAAAGCAACCTCTGTACAATTTCGAATCAGTTCGGTACCACATTACATGCGTCCACAAGAGATGAGCGCGAAGGCAATGCAGGCGCGTCGCGCGAAACATTGGTGATGGCCTCCGCTCCACCCACCCGACCCCATAGCACCCAGCCGCGTGACCACAAACGCCGCCTCTCTGCGGACACGTTTTGGCAAAGACAAGCCCGCTGCCGGCCTTGCCAATGGGCGGGGTCGGCGGCGAGCTCCGCCCGGCACCCCTCGGCAGGGGGACAGCGCCGCGCGGCCGCTTACCGGCGCTGTACTGGGTGTACTGCGAGTACTGCGGGTGGAAGTTGTGGATGGCGTCCGTCATGATGTCCCTCGGGTTCATCGTCTCCTGGGGACAAATGCGTGGCGAGTGAGGTCTCCGCTCGGCGGCGCGCATCGGCATCCGTGCCGAATTCGCGTCAAACACACCGAACTGGCACCATAAAGCGCGCTTGAACAAGATGAGGCGTACGAATAGTGTCTACGGATTCCGAACTTGGTTCGCTTGTAAGAACATACATTGTGAAAAGCAGCCTACCGCAAGAGCTCCAGACAACCTTCTCCAATTCCTCCATTTGCACAAGCTCCACGCTGCAGCGCAGCAAAACTTCTCCAGCACGGCCCGTCCTGACAACCGCACCAGCTCGGCACTCTCGCCTCAGCCCACCTCCGATGGCCACCAGCCGGTTGCCCTGGCCGAGACACCCGACCCAGTCCCAACCAGCCACCGGCAGAGCTACGGTCACCGCCCGGAGAGCGTGTCATCTTCCCCGGCTCCGACCGGCCGCGCCCCCCCCCCCCCCCCCCCCTGTCACGCCTCCGGGGCGTCCGAGGCGACCGCGCTAACGCTGGCGTTCGGCAGCCGCGCGCGCTACAGGGTCCGCCTTTGACGCGAGCCGCCAGGAGATCGGGTGGGTCCTCCTCGGACCTCCAGGGTCCTCCTCAGGACTCCACAACCGCCGCTTGCCGGTGGGGCGCCGCCGGGTCACAGGGAGTCCCCCTGGGCCACAGGGGTTTCTCCGAACACTGCCCTCTGCCCAGGTCCGTGTTCGCCTGAACACTGCCCTCTGCCCGGGTCCGTGTTCGCCTGAACACTGCCCTCCGCCCGGGTCCGCGTTCACCTGAACACTGCCCTCTGTCTGGGTCCGTGTTCGCCTGAACACTGCCCTCTGCACGGGTCCGCGTTCACCTGAACACTGCCCTCTGTCTGGGTCCGTGTTCACCTGAACACTGCCCTCTGCACGGGTCCGCGTTCACCTGAACACTGCCCTCTGTCTGGGTCCGTGTTCACCTGAGCACTGCCCTCTGCTCAGGTTCACACTCATATAAGCACTGCCCTTTCTCCTGGTCAGTGTTCTCCTGAACACTGCACTTTCTCCTGGTCAATGTTCACCCGGACACCGCACTCTATCCGGGTCCGAGTCCACCCCGGCCCGCTGACTGCACGCCATGGAGACAGCACCACTTTCAAAAAGGGCTCCGCAGCCGACAAAGTTTTGTGGTGTGTTTCGCACGACCTGCACACCCCCGAAACCCATTGGCTCACCCCCATACAAAACATCAGCCACCTCGGCGGGCGTCCGACTAGCACAAACACCCGCACAACTCGCGCGACAGCACCGTCGGCTCCCACCGTTAAACGCCCACAAAAGTCCAAACGAGCCGCCGCCGAGCGCCCCCGTTGACCGGGCGGCCGATGGCCGGGAGCCGGCAGCATCAGCTGCAGCACAGGCGGCGGGGCGGCGGGCGCCGCAGCGTATTGAGCCGCGGCCGCCGGCCGGCCGGCTCACGCCCAATCGATCTGTCAGTCAGACGGGGCCGGTCGGCCGCGCACCGCGGCGCCGTCCCGTGCGGCGACACACACCCCCTGGTCGTCCTCATGGGGGGGGGGGGCGTCCGCAGCAGGCATCTGACGTCAGGGAGACTTGAGCTCAAGGAGGTGCCTGATGTACGGGGAGGTACCTCACGTCGGGGGAGGTATTTGGCGTGGGTGAAGTACTTGATGTGGGGGGCGGTACCTGACGTCAGGGGAGGCACCTGACCCCACGGGCGGCATCTTATGGCGCTCCGGGTTGGTGAAGCTGATAGGCTGCTGCCGGCGGGAGGCGCCGACAAGTCAGCTCGGCCCCAGCACGACTCCAGCCGAGGGCAGCGGCTCCGTTTGGTAGCGTCAGAGACCCCTTGCCGCGCGCGGGTCATTTCGAAACCGTGTGGTGAAGAGAGGAGGAAGCGCCGGAGATCCGGCAGTCCTATCGCCCGCCGCAAACCGCGACCATCAGCGAACAGGAAAACTCAGTCGGACTGAAGATGGGAAGCTGTGGGTGCTTTGAGGAACTGCGCGAAACAAAGCCGAGTGCTCGTTCACCTCTCCGCGAGCACGAACATTTTTCTTAAGCTGATGCAGATCCAACGGGCGGGGTTTTCGTTGACAAATGACAAATGATAAACGACAAAAAAAAACAAAAACGAAAACAAAGATAACTGTTGTACATCGAACGAAGAGAAACACTGTACCCACACCACCCGGGCACATAATTCACAACCGTCCACTTCCCCCTCCCCCAATAAGGTCACAACCGTCCGGTTTCCGGGAGCCGCCCACGGTGAGAACACTGCTCCGCGGTGCTGCCCCGGCGTGGCGTACCTTGAGGGAGCTGGAGATGCTGGTCATGGTGACGGAGCGGCCGCTGGGGTCGCTGAGACACTCCTGCGAGTAGGTCTGCGGCACACAGAGCGGACGGGGTCACGGCCCGCGCCCGGCGCCTGCCCGTGCCGCCCAGGCGGGCACGCTCCGGAGAGCTGGCGCCACGCAGCACGCGATCCCCGACTGAGCACGCCACACCTCTATGGTGGGTCTTGATCCTCACTTCACCCGAGTCATTATCCGAAAGTGGAACACGCTACAACTGCTGATGATGCCATGATTTGGACTTTGGGGCGCGTTGACAACCACGGCCATATGGCGTCCATCCCATTGCAACAAAACAGCAAAAAAGGTTGCACACCTACTTGTACATGTATAACTATACGCATGTAGCGCACACATATCGTTTAATACATATCATACCTCCAAATCGTTTCCATCTATCATATCGCTAGCTTATGACGTCACCAAAACACGTCATTCCACCCGTTCCTTGCAACCCGAACACCAACACCACAGAGGACAAACCCGGTCCCTCACTGTGTGCGGGAAGGCGTAGCGCAGCATGATGGCGGCAAAGAACATCTCGATGCAGATCAGGAAGTTCTGGTAGCCGGCCGACATGGTGCCCGGGTTGATGTAGCTCTTCTCCTCGATGACGTCACTCCACTCGAGGATGGCCAGCAGCACGCCTGCGGCCGTCCGAACGGTCGTGAGGGATGCCCTCTCGAGCGAGAGGTCCACGGTTCGATTCCCTCGCACGGAACTTTTATTGGTACCGGCTTCCAGCACAGCTCGGTACTGCTACTGACCGCAACGGCACCGTGCGTCGACGGTTCATAGCCTGACGTTAGAACTGAGTCGACAGCGAGCCACACGCAAACGCCACGAAGCACGTGTGACGGAGGTCTGGGTGGGTGGCGACGGCGGCAGCTGGACGTGCGGACATGGCGGAGAGCGGAATCCTTCCAGCGTCCTGTGGTAGCAGGGGGAACAGGGCACCGCGAGCCGTACCAAACGGGGGAGGTGAGCGCTCCAAACGCTCTCCACTACGGGCCGTCGCGCCGCGGGCCTGCAAAATATACCCGAACCGAGAGTCGAACCGGCGACCTCGCGATGACCGCACCACCGCTAGAGCTTCAGCACCTGTGACATAACGCACTGGACGCGGAGCCTGCCACTGCCTGCTGCACGCGTTACCACTTCCGAGACGCGGGTCACGTCTCCCTCCAATCGAAGACGGTAACAAGCCCCTACATGAAATCACGCCGGTGACCTTTCTCCGTTCGACCCGGCTTGCACCGGCAGGGGTGACCTTTCGGGCCTGCGGGGCGGGCTCGACGACCGGGCCCGCCCCGCAGCGGTGAGCGGTGAGCAGGCGCAGCGAGCGCGGGAGCGGTGAGGGGCGGGCGCGCGCGCACGGAGATCCCAGCATATAACCGAGGCTGAGCCGACCGCAAGGAACGCGTCATTAATGCACGCTTGCCGATCCGACACCAGGCTAGAAATCTACACAGACGGGTTAGAAGGGTATGTCGAACAAGCGGCACTGCAACGCTCAGCAGCGCGGCTGCTTCCGTGGCCCGATAGCAGTGCTGAGGCACGCGCAAACTACGCCAGCTGACGGCAGGATTACGGGCGCGCCAACGTCAAAGGCCACACCGACCAGCGACCGCAAACACACCGTGCGCTTTGGCGCGTACTTCCGCGGTGAGCTGGCAAGTTTGCGCCTTGCTGCGAGTGGGAGGTGAGACCCCAGTGGGAGGGCGGCCACATCACTACAGCTCGCGCCCGTCCCTCCGCGGCGGAGACCCGCATCCCGCCCGCCGCCGCCCGCCCCCACCGCCGTCCCGCCGCCGCCGCAGCCTCCCACCCACACCGCCGCCGCCGCCGTCCCGCCGCTGCAGCCGCCCACCCGGCACCCACCCTGCCAGAAGGAGAGGAAGATGACCGACTTGACGGTGAAGAACTTGATGACCGGGTCGAACGGCCGCAGCAGCTCGCGGGTGGCGTGGTAGAAGAGGAAGAGCGCGTACAGCGCCAGCGACACGCTGAAGTTGTAGATGATCACCACGTACAGGTACCCGCTGGTCGGGCTGTGGCACAGAGCGCGCGCGTGCGCGCCGTCAGACCGGCAGCCGGCGGCGGCCGGTCACGGACGCGTCAGCGGCCGGCGCGCTGCGTGAGACGGGGCGTTTGTGGAAGACTGCGTCCCAGCGAACGGGCGTGGCGAGCAAACATGCCGGGCGCGGCAAAATCAGGTCCGGAAGGTGAGCAAGGCGGAGGACGTGAAGAGAGCGATAACCACGCGTCTCGCGGCAGATATCGAGATGCACCAAACACATGAAAAACGTTTCACCCTTACGGCTAAAACCCCAATCATCATCATCACCATTACGGCCTCCCCAGTGTCGGCTTTTAGCCCCCCCCCCCAAAAAAAAACAAACCTAAGCCTGCCTGGGGAAGCGCTAGGACTGAAAAGTCTGCCCCGTTTTTGGCTCTTTTCAACATATGCCATAAGATAGACCTCTGGTTATTGTTCTTTTTCGAATAACAATCTCAAGTCCTGGCCCTGCGTTTCATCAAATCAAGATGAGCGTGCGATCAAGCTCAGTTTCTGCTGTTCTGTGATGGCCATACGAGACGAAGCATCCTATTAGATAGCACACAAGGCCACACAATTAAAAACAAATACGTGTCCAAGGTGAGGTGGTTAAGACAGGTGGTGCCCCCTGCAATCATACCCAAAACCAAGTGCATAAGTGACTACGCCGCAGCAGTACGCAGTTCAATAGCCTGCTACGACCCACGTCCCCTACAATGTCCCAGCAATTGAAATACAAGAATGCACGCACAATCTTCACATTTCATTCAGCAACGAGCCAAGATATGGCGCCACTCACATGGAACTAGCGAACTTAGTGCCTTTTTTACACTACTTCCTCCTCGTCCAAAAATCGTCCGTCACTCAGCTCCGTGAACCCCGTTCGACCCATTAGTTGCCCATAACCCGCATATACACCGCGACTCTGCCAGCTGCCGGACCAAATCCGCCGCCGGCCGGCTCCGGCACCAGCGACGTCACCAGCTGCCCATAATACCTCCAGTAGCCGTCAGAGTATTTGCCGTAGGCCTCCAGCACGATGGTGACGGCCGCCATGGCCGGTTTGACCACGCAGAACTGGAGCGTCGCCTGTTTGCAGAAGCGCAGAAACTCGATCGTGTAGCTGCGTCCAGCCAGGCAGCACGTGCAGCTCCACAGGCTGGTCCTGCGTCGCGAGCAGAGCCAGTCGTTAACAGGGCTTGGGGAAGCTGAGCAAGGGAACAGCTGTTGGAACACGTGAAAATAAAGAGGTATCTGGGCGGGTGTTGAACGCCGTGTCAACAGCAAACGGTGTGTTCCCATGCTCTCCGATTTCGATACAGTCCCCATGCCGCTCATTTACACCTAAGCTTTCATTCACGTTTCGTATTCCTGCGATAACTGCAAGGCATGGCCCAAGCATGGCCATTCACGGACATTGTCTAGTTTAAAGAAGAATCGAACCAAGTGAAATTCCCCTCACTCCGCCAGTCTGTACCCAGAAATTGCACCGGTGTTTGCAACAAATGCATTCCCTTCGTGCAACAGCGCGCCGCGACAGGGTTCCTCGAAGCAGGCTATGGCCCGCCGCATGTCAAACGCAGCACACATCAACGGAAACCCACGAGCTGAGTGGTACTCAGGGAGCTCTGGACACTGGCCTTCGGTCGTTACGCAATGCGATGAACGTGACTGGACGGGGAGAAATGGTATCACATGAGCGAAAACGCCTACAAAGCCGCGACCGCCTGCACGACACTACACGACACTACAAAGCCGCGACAGCCTACACTAATGAGACCTGTCATCGGAAGATGTCGCTAACCGAGAAATCACGGCATTCATCGCGAGGTGTTCACGTGGCACTAATATAGCATTAAGCAGAAATACTCGCCGTCGTCTGCTGGCGTCGGGGCTTTACGACGCACTCCTTGCTGAGACCCTAGTGCGTCAACCGCATATTCATTTAAAGAAGCAATGGCTCGCGAAATGGCCCGTGAAAATCCTACCCGCATCTATCATCCACCGCACCTAGGAATAGTACCCGGATAAGGCATCATTTCAGAAATCCTTTTCTGCTGCGCATAACTACGCATGAAGTAAATTCATCGTTCCTTAATATCCGGATCCTGACGCGCCTGTTCAGCCCAATTATGAAAGGGCATTGCCCATAGCACCAGCGTTCCAGCCGTTGCCGGAAAATAGCCGACACCTCCCCTCCCTCCGCCAATCCGGGAGTAACACCGCCCAACTGCCAGCCGGGTAACTTCCGGGCGCCGGGCCGCCAGCTGGCGCCACCTGGAGCCGCCCGTGACGTCATCCTCCCACGGCCCGGTCAGCGGCGGTCGATACCGGCCCGGTGGAGGGGGGGGGGGGGGGGGGGGGGCAGCACGTGCACGGCGGAGGCGGCCGCCGCGCGCGACGGCCTGCACGGCCGGCCAAGCGGCCCACAAGGCAGCGCTTCTGCCTGGCTTCTGCGCGTCATCACAGCCGCTCGCTTCCGACAGCACGAGGCGGGGCGCACGCGCGGGTGTGACACAGGCGGCCGCGGCGCGACGACAACCCCAGCCGGCCGGGCCATCCGGCGCGCGGATAGTCTGGCCAAACGACCAAACGCATCGTCGCGAGCAGCGACACCGACAAGCGCGGCACGTGAGCGCCAGATCGGCGGCGAACGGTCACCGCGCGTGTCAGAGGCCGCGTGGCGTCACGCAAGCACGCCGGCGGTGGGGTGACGTCATCCCAGTGGGGCCGCCGCGCGGCGCGTCATCAGCTGCAGCAGTGTCCGGGGTCCGGCGTCGTCCGAGCGGCGCGTCGGAGGGCGGGCCGCAGCACGCCTCTCACCGCCGCGCGGCGCGTCATCAGCTGCGGCGGTGTACGGGGGCCGGTGTCGTCCGAGCGGTGCGTCAGAGAGCGGGCCGCAGCACGCCTCTCACCGCTGCGAGGCCGTCGGTGGTGAGGTGGCGCAAGGGGGCCTCGTCCGCGGTGAAGCCCCGCCGCTCCCCGACCCCGCTTCCGCGTCCAGCCGAACAGCCCCCGGTATTCGGTGCATGGTGTTCGAAGCGAACCGATGAGAACCAGAAGCAAGGATCGCGCTTTCAACAAGGGGTCAGTGGAAACCAGAAACCAGCATCGGGCACCAGCCGCGTGACTTAAGTATTAACGTGCCAGACAACTGTTTGGACCATTACTGCGACGTTGAAACGCCGGATCTGGAAACTAGGGACACAAATAGTCTGGGGCCAATGCCCTGCAACATGGACCACGAAGCGTCATACGGAGTGGGCCGTACACCGGCTACCCAGGAGCGTGAACCACGGGCAGCGAGGCCCGAGGACTGGATTCGGTCCGGTCCGGTCCGGTCCGGCCGCGCTGCGCCGCCGCCTCCAGGCTGCAGCGGTCCGGCGGCATCAGGGCAGGACGGGGAGGATTTCTAAGCCCAACCGGACGGGCGCGAGGAGGCCCCGAGAGAGAGGTGCCTCTCGCTAGATACAGTCAGGATCACCGATTACCGCGCACCACGGCAGCGCAAAGAAAACGACAAAGAGCGCAGCGCAATAGGGTGGCGAAGAGCACAGGTTAAGAGCACACAACAGACAGCGGGCACAGAATAACAAACGAGACAAAGCCACGCAAAACACGGCTCGAAACACGCCGGCCACAGCCGACCCCAGGGTGGAGTTAGGCGACCGCGGCGAACAGCAGATAGAGACAAACAAGAGTGGGGGGGGGGACAGATACGGTTGCACGGGCCCAAGCGAGGACGCCAGAGCGACTTCTAAAGATCCCGAGCGCGAGAGAAAGGCGTTAGAGCAAGTGACACCGGCACCCGCCACAGAGAGAGAGAGAAAGCGGCCCGCACTGCCACCGACCCGATTCGGAGCGCAAAAGGCTCACCCCGGCAGCATTGCGCCAGGCAGCCCCGCCGCGCTCCTCCCACGCTCTGCCGGCACCGCACGCTCCCGCCCGGCCCTGTCAGCGGCCAGCCGGCGGTCGGTCGGCCTACTCACTTGATCGCCGCACGCTGCTGCCCGGCCCTGCCAGCGGCCAGCCGGCGGTCGGTCGGCCTACTCACTTGATCGCCGCACGCTGCTGCCCGGGCCAGCCAGCGGCCAGCCGGCGGTCGGTCGGCCTACTCACTTGATCGCCGCACGCTGCTGCCCGGGCCAGCCAGCGGCCAGCCGGCGGTCGGTCGGCCTACTCACTTGATCGCCGCATGCTGCTGCCCGGGCCTGCCAGAGGCCAGCCGGCGGCCGGTCGGCGGCCAGCCGGCCTACTCACTTGATCGCCACACGCCCCTGCCCGGCCCTGCTGGCGGCCGGTCGGCCTACTCACTTGATCGGCTTGCCACGGATCTCGGACATGATGTTGCCCTCGCCGCCCAGGTACTCGTAGCACAGCGACAGGAAGTTGTAGATGACGAACGCTGCGGCACGGCGGGGAGCACGGTCAGGGCCGACGGCCGGCTGTCGGTGAGCTGATGCCCATTTCAGACACCAGGCGCACGTCTGCTAACAAACTGCTCGCCACCATTTCGCACGACTTGATCGCAAATCTGGCGTCCATGGGTCTTAGGCATTAGATCGCTGTTTTCGCCTCATTTCAGTTTGCTCTCTCGGGGCGAAACACATTTCACACACACACACACACACACACACACACACACACACACACACACACACACACACACACACACACACACACATTTCGCGTGACTTAACAAGTGCATCATGAAACGTTTGCACGAAACGGACAGGAGCAGCAGGGTCAGCCCCATCATATCGTCGCCGGTTGGCCGGCGAGCGAAGCGCCAAATCGATCCTGGCATCTGCCTAGCAATGCGGACAACCAATCCTCACCCGCTGCTTCAAGTCAGCAGCCGTTTACAATCGACCACGAGCAGGCGTCGCAAACACCTGGTCAACATTCGTCGACAACCTCCGATGCGCCGTCCAACCGACGACAACAGAGCCATGGTCGACATGCGGCGGCTTGGCAATGTCACGTCATGTCACTGGGGCTTTACGGCGTACTCAGCTGCTGAGGCTACATGGCGTCGCCTGCCTCTCACCCTGGCAGGAAGGGCGGGCACCACGGGGAATCGAACCTCGTATCTCTGGTTTCTCAAACGCGCATTGGTTAACGCAGATGCATTAACCACTACACTTCCGGCGCCCCGGCTGGGCAATAAGTATCGCAATGCAACCCACAGGCCAACAAGGTCGACTATCGGCAATTACGCGGCGCCGGGAAGCCATTATCTACCCGGTTTACATGGGCAGCCGAGGATAATTCGAATTAAGATCGGAACGGATCATGCGACGTTAACCCTCTCGGCGAGGGGCGTTTACATGGGCGAAACCGGCTTTACGTCGGATTAACGGTCGATAGTTCGATCCCGCTTAGTTCGAATCAAGGAACGGATTATGGGCGAAAACTGCGCTTTTGAGGCGAACTGAACAAAACAAGAAGAAAAAAGCAGGTACTCTGCGTATAGATGGCGAATGTCACGAGCCATGGTGGGCGCGAGACAGCTTTGAGGGCGAGGAGGAAGATGGACTCCGTTGGAAAAATGATATGTGCGGGACTCATAGGCTTTATAGCTACAGCACAAGCCATAACACTTGAAACACAAGAGTTGCGCAGTCAGCATTGCCAAATCTGTCACATAAGCAGTGTTATATGCAAATTTTTACTAGCGGGAAACTTTGGCTAGCAGGAAATCAGTATTTTCTTGTATTGGCCAATGACACTCACAAACTTACCACACTCATATCAGTATGCCACCCAGCATCATGTCATCTACTTTGCGCGGCCCAAGAAACACATTACCTACTCCCACACTAATGCATTTATGAGCAGCCTGCAACAGTGAGCTAAGCTACAGAAATGACTCATGAATGCTACATAGTTAGTGGCAAAAATTGTGCAACCATGTTGTCTTTCCCCATCCAATGCATCATCAGTACCTGAGGGCAGCATTGCCATTTAGACTTGGCATGGACTGGCAAGTCAGAATGCAGCTATTTGCTTTCTTGACATAATAGGGTTGAAATACTGCTTTGATATCCTTGCAGTCAACAGCATTGGCTGATATGGACTGATGGCTAGGTGGCACAAACAGCTGTGTTCGCACAGTCCAAAGATCATAACATGTGAACCAGCCCCAGAGCTGTCATGACAAAAGCAATCTGGGCTCAAAATTCATAACAAATGATTAATTATAACAACAGCTCAATTATCCAGCTCATGGTTTGCAAGGATACATGTCACAAAAAAGCACCAAGGTAACATATTTACTCACCAGTACAAAAACAGGTAATGATGTGCACCACAGATGTTCTCTGCACATCATGTGGCATTATGTTAGGTTTACTTAGTTTATGCCCTGTTTTCTTCCACATAAAATGCACAAACCTGGATTTGACAGAGTACTGATGACAGCTATTTTCATCCAGTGTTCACATTTGCTTTCTTGACATTTTGGAACCATCACTGGGCAATTTTGGTCCCATCATTAAAAATAGTTCACATTCTGCACTGACTGCAATGATCTATTGCCTATATTTGTTGATCCTTTGCATCATGCAGGAATTATTGAGTTACCTATCTCACACACATTAAACCGACAAGCAACAAACAGCCTAATCGCATCATTTTAATCGCGTAAAACAAATATTCCAGCCCCCGCTACCTTGCCATTTGGTCTACCAGTGTGATGTAACTTCATATTTCCTTGACGAGCCAGTCACCAATATCCAGCACATCCCTCCTGCCAATAGGTGGTCAACCAAATGTTCAAGTCACAGGAGGAATGTCTGCAAAATCAATCCTGGGGCATTTATGTATTCACTTAATGAAAGAAAGTATTGGTACTCCCTGCAAGAATTGTTGAACAGTTGAAGTACCTACCTCATGGCCTGCAGACACCCATCACAAAAAAGCACCAAGGTGACATATTTAATCACCAGTACAAAAACAGGTGATGATATGCAACACAGACGTGTTCTCCATGCAGCATGTGCCATTGTGTTAGGTGTTAGTTTATGCACTGTTTTCCTGCACATGGAACACACAAACTTGGATTTAGCAGAGTAATGATGACAACTATTTTCATCCAGTGTTCACATTTGCTTTCTTGCTGTTCTGACCCCGTCATTGGGCAATTTCGGTCCTACCAGTAAAAAGTTCACATTCCGAGCTGACTGCAATGATCTATATTTGTTCATCCGTCATATCATGCAGCAATTTTTAAGCTACCTTTCTCACACAAATTTAACTGACAAGCAACCAGCATCCTAATTTAAGGAACATCTGCAAAAACACTCCTGGGGCCTTTAGGTATTAACTTAATGAAAGAAACCTGGAGGCATTCTCTGCAAGAATTTTGAGCAATCCAAAATTAAAGTGAGAACAAGTCAAAGCTCTATAAAATGACCATATTACCTCCATCTGGCTTTTGGAAGCATGGAGCCTGCCCCAGATGTAAATTAATCTAACCTTTAGGCGGAAAGATAACACCAAACACCGCCGACGCCTGCTGTCTGCATAGATCACGCGCCTAGCAAGGCTAAATTACGTGGGCATTTCTGTGCTGCTAGCCACTCAAGGCCCTCAATAATAAGAGTAGTTTTAGCAGCATGGTGTCAACTTCACCTTCTTTCTCTTTTCCTTTACCATCTTGGACTTGGATCGTCTCGAGCAATAGCTAAAAACCCGTGGAAAAGCGGCAACACCAAACAAAGCTGAAATGGCCATGAACAGAACTGCGTGCGCCAGGCATTTTTCTTTTTTTTTTGTTTAGACAGCTGACGGCCGATAATTCGGACGAAATCCCTTCCTGAACGGATGATCCTCTCACGGGAAGGGATTTCCTCCGGCGCACGATTCGAATCAGCGGAACGGCGCGCGAGTGTATACATGGGCCGGATAGTTCGGATCGAGGACGGGTCCCGGCTCAATTCGAATCACAGCTGCCCATGTAAACAGGGTAATCGACGCCACCCGGCGGCCAAGGCAAACACCGCTCCGGGCCGTATTGACGCCGCTCTTCCCGACACTGTGGCCAATCGCACGCCCCTGTGACGTCACTGGTCACAGCGGCGGCCACGTCACTGATAACCAAACTCCAGGGCTGCGATCTCCACCGCCGAACGCCGTCCACAAGTCGCAACGTACGAAGGCATACGCCGCAACTTGCCGGCGCCACTTGGCAGTGGGGAACGCGGCACGTGGCATCAGCTGGCGTCGCGGCCGTGGGTACGGAAGGGTGACGGAGGTGCCGTTCGCACAAGCCCAGCAGGTGCGCCTCTGGGGCGTCAGACGGCAGCCGCGCTTGGTGTGGTGTCTGCCCAGTCTCCGTTACGACTTAGTGGAGTGACGTTGTGCGGATGCAGTCACGACGGCATGTCCTAAGTTCTTCATAAAGTCATGAGCACCACATCCATGAGGGGAATCTTGCCGACTTGCTGCAATCTGCATCTTGAATCTTGCCCGCCAGGCTGCAGACCGGGTGTGTATTGTTTGTTATGGGATACATTGTTTCACCTTTGAGGGCCACGCCGACTGTCGCGCCCTCTCGAAGCTTATTTATAGGCCGCTGCCTAAGAGCTAATCTATCCGCAACCACTGATCGCAGGCTCATGCAGCTTCAGCGGCAACAAAGCACAATTCTGAGAAAGAAAAAATTGTGCGATCTCAATCGTCCAGCATTTCCATGCACGCACAGTTGGGGCATACAGGTTTTTCCTCCAGCACTGAATACCACCCTTCACCTCCCCATGCGATTAACACGGAAAAGCAATGTTCTCAGAGTAACAGGGAAAAGTAATGTTCTCAGACTGCGACAAAGACGTAGAGCGCAGGCCGAAACCGGGTCCATATCTTGACGGCCCGGCGCCGCGGCGACCAACCAAGACGCTCTGACATCGGCCGAAGCGGACAACCGCAAGGGCACACATGTGGGAATCGATGTGTGCGAACGATCACGCGCTGCCATGCGCACGCCGTGGATCCGCTCGTTTCGGGCGTCATTTAAGGCTTGCTGTCCGACCTCAGCAGCCAGCGTAGACCGAGCCGTGACACCGGCCACGCAGCGCAGGCGAAAGCGCGGGCTACAACTCTTAAACGGGTTTGAAAGCTTCCAGCGAACAGGTGCGCGAGCTCCTGGCCGGATATCGGCCAAGGCCACTTGCTCTGAAACCAGTATCGAATGCAAGGTGCTTTGCCCTAGACCGAGAGTGATCGTGCCATGAAAATGCCACAGCAGTATAGCTCTTCATTATGGCTGCTACCCACTAAACTTGCTGATGTATGCTGCGGCACCGCGGTCAAAATTGCCCAAATCAGGAATAATTTCAAACTAGCCGACGTCGTTGGTTAAATTCTAAACTAACTGATATAGATCAGATTTCAAAGTAACTGACG